ATTATGTCTTAAAGGGAAACTGTCAGCTTAGAAATCACACTTCTGTCAGAAGATTTATCTAATGATATGAGTAATAGACAAGTACTATAATTGAAAGAGATGAGAAAAAACCGGCTTGATTAATTTGTGTACAGTTAGATACACTCTTTCCCTCTACAGTTATTCCCTGCTCTGCCTGGTCCAGGTAAAAAAGGGCGTTTCCTGAACTGACGTGGACCTATATGGTTCCTTCTCTCTTCTGGTCACCGGGGGAGGGGGTGCGGAGGAATGGGCCAGCATCACCGCACTGATCTGGTCTGCAGCTGCAGGAGAAAGTCACTCTCTGGCCCTTAAAGGGACACACCTTTTCCAACCAGCCAGACAACAGCCCCCACCACTTCATGTGCGGTCATTGTCTTCAGTCAATCACATGTATTTAAAGTGCTTTGCTGCCTCAGGGCTTTATTCAATTCACTCTTTTCTTTTCCCAAACAGGGAGTAAGAAAATTTAAAAGTGTTACTGTAAAACCACATAAATTGGCAAGGAAAGAGTGGTACCTGAACTTAATGTAAGTTCTTAAAATTGACTAGATTTCCAATTGATAGTATGTTATGTATTACTATTCATAGTATATAATCTATACTATAAAAATGCATATAAAGCTTGGAACATGGCCAAGTTAATGCTGCATTTAGAACCTTAGCTTGTACATTTCTTTCCTATTTGCAGTTTCAAATATGTAAACATTGTGATTCTTTTAAATAGCTGTTTGTGGGTTTTCGGGGTGTCTGTGTGTGTTTGTTTTTGCACTGTTATATAAAAGAAAAGGCTTTATCTCCACTTTAGATTCAGGTTGGTTGGAGTATGTACCCAAGCTATATTACTGTCTCAAGCTAAGATCAAGAGAGGTAAGACCCTGGTACTACGGGCCTTCTCTCAATTAATACTAAAACATTGTGACAACTAAACAGTATCAGCATAATTTGACATCTTGAGAACCAAAATAAAGTATTTTTCCTATAAGATTACTTTTAATGAACGTACTTTATAACAACTGAAATATTCTTATGTTCCCACATCTATGAGAGGTTGAAAACCCACAGGCTTTGACTTGGAAATGCATCTCACAAAGTACTCTGGGTGTGGCAATATCTGTTTGATCTGAGGTAATATAAGTAATTATATGTCATCAATGAAATAATACATAGCTAAGTGTTAACAGAAAAAAATTTCTCTATGTATTAGAGCATCACTAATAGCATGCACTGTATGTGGACTCATTTCCATGTGTTTTCTTTCTAGTATAACCCCACTGTGTATTTTAGAGTACACAAGCTATTGTATACCACCATTTGGGCATTTTTAATATGCACAGTCAATTCTGATTGGCTCTTACATTACAGACTTCAAGCTACGCATATATAAAATTGGATAAATAATTTCCCCTCCCATCTATGTAGTCTAATATATTGGCCATTATTGGCCACTATTTGGAAACTAGGGATGCTACTAATCCTATAGTTGTGTAGTGAGGATTAACAAGTAGTTGTTCAGAGCTTTAATGAGTAAAGCACTGTATAAGTGCTTAGTAGTATTAGATCTGCCATATGGTCCCTGGTATAACCTATATCATCATGCTTAAATTTTCCAAGTTTTTAGATTTCTAAATTTTGGAGACCCCAAAGTGACATCTATAAAGGATCTGATTTCCAGCGAGTGCTTTAAGGCATCTCATGTTGGCCACCCAAAATCACCAGTAACATTTTAAAATGTAGACCTAAATGCCATGATAAATTGAGCTGCATTAATGGATGGACGGTCCGCCCACTGCTACAACTTCAATACATTTATGTTAAACAGGTGGTTTTTACACTCCCAGGGAACTTAACATGTGTCATCCTTACTGAATGTCACAGAAAACATTCTCAAAGAGATTCCCAGAAATTAAAAAAATTGGAAGTTCATCTAAAAATAAACAAAATACCCCCAATACAAAAGTAAGTACTGGGTATTAAGCCTCTCTCAGACTCAGTTATGCCTTTTATAAAGCTATAGCTACAGAACACCCTTAAACATTCCAGTGTCCTAGATGGTTAAAATATGTTACTTCTCAGAGACTGAGGTACCATTTATCCAACCAAAGGAAGAAAGGATTAATTGTTTAATTATTTCTATTTTAATTTACCCTAGGTAGTCAGTGTGATGGAGGGCAGTCCTGGAACATCACACTAAGAACCAAGAGATTGGAGGCTTGCAAGGAAAAGCAAGCAAAACATAGGGTATGTGCTGTGGGAGATACACCTTCCTGCTGAACATTCGCTTTATTCTCTTTGATTTGTTATGCCTTTTTTTTTTTAATTTCATTGAGCCTGAATTGGAGAGGGCTTCTGCAAGGGAGGTCAGGGGCTTCACAAGTGCATCAAAAAGTGATCTGGCTTCATGAAGCAAAAATAGTTTTATTCAGTTGCTGAAACTAGCTAATGATCCTGAATATATAAGGCTTTTCATAACCAATACCTAACCAGAGTGCTTCACAAGCAGCACCATCTATTATGACTAAAATATTATTTTAAAAAGCTAATGTAAACAGATACCCTAATTAACTAATAATGCCTTAGCAGTCTACACAAACTACTACCTAAAGACCAGACTCTAGTTGCTCTCTGACATGCAGGTGCACATCCACAGTTACCTTTTCAAATGAATACAAAGCTAGCTTCATGGCCCTGGAGGCCAACATACTCTATTTATCCACAGAACGGGTACAATTCAGACAATGACAATCTAAGCTTCTCCATGCTGCCCTGGCAAGGTGCCTCAAGCATGTCCTGATGAGACCTATCTGTAGGTGCAAAGGGTGTGTGTGAGAATTTAGACTCCCTGCCATTCAACCTTTAGTCTCTCTGCTGAGATTGCCAAGAAGAGGAGGGATGAGGACGAATTGCCAATGCTGATTTTATTGGATTGATTGTTTGAGACCACTGACTATAAGGTGCTGTTGAAACATTTGTGACCCACAGCAGGATAGCTTTATAGTAGCTCTTCTTCTATTTGCCTGAAAGGACCTAGAGGGCTATCACGGGAAATTGTTCATCAGATGAGACGGTTCTTGTATTCTGTTCCCCATCCTGTTCAACATAGATGCGTGTTGGTTAGGGAGGTTAGTAACTAGACCCTGGATGACGCACCTTCAGTGTGTTGGCAATATTCAGCTCTATGTCTCCATCTCTACGGCTGATGCAGTGGAACAGATGAGCATCTGTTTGAATAGAGCTAGCAGACTAAAGCTCAATGAAGATGAGACATTGGGCTGGGGGAAGCAACTGCAGAAATTGACAAAACTACATCTGCACCCAAGTAAGCGTGCTGCCATTTGTGACACAAATTGGAAATGTAGGAGGCAGGGCTGGTTCCAGCGTTTTTGCCACCCCAAGTGGCGGGGAAAAAAAAAAAAGCCATGATCAGCGGCAGCTCTACTGCCGCCGCTTCGTTATTCGGCGGCGGGTCCTTCCCTCCAAGAGGGACTGTGGGACTTGCCGCCGAAGAGCCAGACGTGCTGCCCCTTGCTGTTGGCCGCCCCAAGCACCTGGAGCTGGCCCTGGTAGGAGGTAGTTTACCCCGAAATCACCTACTGCATACAAGGGTAGCAGTCTCAGCCAACAACACTCCTTTTTATCTGTGTGTTGTGAGGCAACTATTCCTTTTGGACACAGATCTTACTGCACTTCTCCATGCCCCTGTCACTTCAAGATTAGGCAACTAATCCACTCTATGTCTTGAGACCACTCAGAAATTGAAGCTGGTGTAGAATGTGGCTGCCTATTTATTGAGAGCACATACAAGCTTGCTCTGGAATCTTCATGGGTTACTCTGAGCTTCTGGGTGAAATCAAGTTGCTAGTTTTGACCTTTCAAAGCCTTAAATGCTTACCTAAGATTGCATCACTCCTATATTACTACAGATGAGATCACCAGAGGCACTCAAGTTTGAACCCTTCTATAAATAAGGGGGAAAGGTGTTTTGTTGTTTTTTTCTTGTGGGGGCTCATGACTTTGGAATTTACTTCCCTCTTTGATCTGCCAGCATGTAGATTTATTAAATAGTCAGACATGCTGCTAGGCCCAACTTTTCTCTCAGGCATTCAGGAAGAAGACTGACAAAGGGGAATTTTTAAAATATTTCTTTGGAGGTTTATTTTCTATTCAGAACACTGCAGGAATGGCGCTTTAAGGCAGGATGAGACTAATTTTAAGCACTGTAAGGGCAACCAGACTACGTGACCGGTGCCTATTGCATGTGGTTGTAAATATAACAAAAAAACAGAGTGACAGTGCCAGCTTGTAAGGGTGGGGTTTGATTCATGTGGAAAGCTGCTCTTCACTAAGAAATGAACTAAGAACGTAACTGAATTAATTTGTTAAATAAGCATTGATGCGCTCCTGAATTGCTGACAATAGAATCATTCCCTAAATATTTAAATATTCTTTTTAATGCTTGCTACAATATAAAATGTAGCTTAACACACTTTCTCTTTAAGCAAAAGAGCTGTAATCACGTTTGTTAACATGAGTCAACAACAGAGTGATTTTAAGGAAATCTTTTGTAATACAAATAAATACATCAAACATGATGAGGAAATATGTTAGAGAAAAAATTCAATGTTAGAGAAATCTATGTTACTGCATAGTGGGTGACCAGAAACTGGTATCCTACTGATCTGAATAAGGACCTGTAATAAAAAGGTCAAAGAAGTGTATCTACGATATACAAAGTAATTCAGCTTTAAAGGTGTATTAGTGGTGGAGTTATGTGTGGGTTTTTGCTTGGTTTTGCATAAGTTGATAAGTGGGAAAAGGGCAATATAGATAAGTCCTGAATGACTAGTAGGTGAGTTGGCATCTCTGTAGATCTGATGCATTAAGAATACACACTCACGCCCAGCCGCAGCAGCAGATGTGCTGGTAGGAGAGGAAAGAGCATTGGATAACGATACGTGACTAGGGCTAGAAATATTGGTTACATCCTGGTTCTGGCTTGTGACGGAGGACTGTCTCCTTAGAGCCCCCTGAAAGGAAGTGCCACTCTTGAAAGTATTGACTACTTCGATCTGCAACGGAGGAAAGAATGAGACAAGTTGCTTAAGGAATGGACACAGTTGCACAACTGACAGGAATAATAATTAAAAAAATACTCAACCATGCATGCAGTTTTACTTCAGCTGAATGAATCAAAGTCATGAGTGTTCCTTTTAACAAGTGGAAATAAATGTGGCCAAATTCTTTCCTGGGGTAAATTGAAGCACCTCCATGGAGGTCAGGGAAGCTGCACCAGTTTACACTAACGCAGGATTTGGACCATAATTTCTGAAATTTAAACCATCCTACATATATGTGCACACCAGTTGACATACTCAGATGACGCTGGTCGATAACACTTAGTCCTGCCTTGAATGAAGGAGGCTGGACTAGATGACCTCTCAAGGTCCCTCTCAAGGTCTACATCTTTTCTACTGAGAATAAATATTACTTGATTACTGCCATCTAGATTTTCTTCCAGAGGGGAAACAAAATGCAGTCACCCAACTCTCTAGTAATAAAGAAATATTAAAAACTATTCAAAATAATTGGATTTGCTTTTTCAATTTAGAAATTTCAAGGTTGCTAACATAGTAGCTCAATATAACTACAAGATGCTTTATTTATTCTGAATTGCATTATTATTAATGAAGAATCATTAAAATTAGGCACAATGATCAAGAATGATTGTATTTTGTAATTGCTGATTAGAAAATAATTCTCTGAAGCAGAATGTTTTTATTTTCGGTGCAGAGCAGATAGGAATTACTCAGAAAATAAAGTTAAGCTACTTTTGAACTACTAATTACTTGTGTTTCACATTGCAATGTTGTATTTTAAATTACCGGGAAATATAGACATGTTCCCATATGCGCTGCAATACTGCCTGTCAATATTACACATTGTACGCTTTATGAATACTCTTATTGTTGGCCTCAGAGGACAAGCTGATGAAATGTTTAACATTTTATACAGTCGAATTTTCCTTTTCCCTCATGTTTTATATTAGAATACAACTGCTTTTAGATGTGAAATCTGGTGACAAATACAGTCTTGTACTTTGCAAGCATTTATGTCATTAATATAGAGAAGTTTGCAGCAAGGAACTTCCTAATTAGTTTAACCTACAAAAGAGCGAGCTCTGAGTTTAGAGGGTTTAATCTCCCTCTGACAGCTGATGATAATGAAGGATGAATATTAGAGACAAAGCCCTTTTAGGAATAATGCACCAAATTCTCCTTTCAGTTACACCAGTATAACCACAATGCAATGGGGTATACACTGGTATACATGAAAAGAGAATTCATCCCATCACTTCTTTAAAGATGCTGTAATCCCTAGTTTTATATTCCTGAGTCTCCAATTTCCAGGGACTCCCAAAGCTAGAGTCATGACAGCTGCTCCCACACACACATTGGCATGTGTTTTGTCAACCAGTTTTCAGAAAAAAGTATCGTTGTTTTAAATCTCATTTTAACATGCAGCATTTTCTTTTTGCCATTTGCTGATAAAATATCTACAAGATCGTTTTAACCAAAATTAACTCAGTCTGATGTTCTTCTTCCTGTCCAGAGAGAACTCCATGATTTAGGTAAATCAATAATACCATTGTAAAAACAGTTTTAAACAATTATAAACAAAAAACCTATTGTATTTTTTTCAAACCCAAAGAACAAACCCATTTTCACTCCAAAGAACAAAAAATATCATTGACACTGGAATCCTAATTTAGAAATAGCTTCATCCTCTTCAGCTCGCTTAGGGAGATAGTTGTTTGTTTATGGTTTCTAGTGTCACTTTTTACAAGTGGTTTTGAGATGGACATTCCATATATAAACATACAGATCTTATGTAATACAGAGAAATAAAGGTTTTTGGTGGAATATCATTGTGTTATAAGTGCAGCACAATATGCATTTCCATATGCAAACAACAAACAGTTATGTTTTCCCATATGAATCTGTGTAATAGAGTTAGCCAGGTGTTAGCATGGAATTAAAATGTATAAACTTTCTATTAGCTCTTAAAAACTCTGTATTAAGCAAACACAAATCAAGGCATTTTGCTGTGCATATTTTCTTCTGCAGGCAGATTCTGGATTGTAAGCCTGATACAAATAGCAAAGTTATAGAATAGGGCATCCGGTGAACCAGTGAGTGGAGAATGGCTGTGAGTAAGTCATTAGCTACAGTACATATTGGCATCTGAAAACCAATCTATGGCTCAAAACAACATTAATCACACATTAAGTAACACTGAATAACTTACCTGAAATGTTCATTCTCCAAAGGCAGAATTAAATACAGATCCTGGCTTTCCATGTTGTGACCCAGGGTCATGGAGCACTCTCCAAAAGAGACAATTCAAAATGTTTTTAAGACTCCCTACTGACAGCACAAAGTGTATGCCATTGGGGAAGATATCAATGGTAAATTCTAAACCTTCAGATGCCAGTTTCTTTAAACATGCCTGCAATGAGCCTACATAATAAGTCGAAAAGAAGATCTCCAGTATAAACACAGGTGGAAAGATGAGGGCAGATCTGTATTTAATATTGTCTCCAGAGAACAAGAATTACAGGTATGTAATTTGCTCTTTCTCCTAAGGAAAGTAACTAAATACAGATCTTTTTGTGGAATCTACAGACAGGAACATCTAACAGATGACTACCCCTGCAGAATTCCAAAGGCTGACATATGTGGTCATGTCCTGCCTGAAGTCAATAAGGACTACATGAAATGCAAAACAGGGAGGAATTTGGTCCAGAATGCTTATGGCAAAAAGAGGAAACAACCAAGAATGGAGAGTCACTGTTAAAAAAGTGAGTACATTTCTATCAAGATGCAAAATACTCGACATTGTTAGAGCAAATGAAACCGCTAAAAAACAGAAAGGTAAGCGTAAGTCACATCACGTTTGTATTGTCTTATTTTGTATCCATTCAGTGTTCTCTTTTTAAAACCAAATTCACAGGAGTTGTCTTTGTGAGCTGCACACAATTAATAAAAATATTAAAAAAGCAGGTTGAAAGACTTCCACTCTGGAACAGCCCTCACAGGACTGATAAGCCAAGCTTTCGTGTTCTTATATTTACAATGGAGTACCTTTTCAGCATGGGAATTTAAGCTGGGATGCTGTCATGAATGTTAATGGGTCTCAGGTAGCTGCATCTCTCTGCCAATCAGTGCTTATGGAATTTTGCATAATAAAAGAACATTTTGGCCTTTATGTAGTTACTTTAAGATAATTTCCCTGAGCCTTGCTACCATATCTCTTACACAAAAGAATTCCCAATAGCCTTCCAGAGAGCTAAATAAATAACAAGGACAGTATTTATATTGTACATCATTCCTAGAGACGTCGACTGTCCAAATGTCAAAATAAAAAAAAGTCAGCTAGGTAATCTAAAAGCTTTATTCTGCCTTGAATAAGAACAATCCTGTAGGTTCTACTCAAGTTAGGACCTTGTAAATTTTTGAATTTCTAGTTTATGTTTGGTATAAAATGCTCTGATGGAATGACGTAAGATGAGATGGGCAAACTTATTTTGCTTAAATTTCAAAACCACTTGGAAAGTTTGACTTTCATGCTACTGGATTTGCATTGGCCCTAGGAGAAACTGAAAAAAACCAGAAAGTATGAGAATAAGTCTAATGAAAAATGCTGTATACATCCCTTATTCAGATCTGTAATGGCATCTACTTGTTCCAAAACAAGCTTTTTTAGGGGTGGGTTGAACTCTTCTATCCTTAATGTATAGCACAGGCTCCCCTCTAGCTAGAAAAATGTGGATTTTTTAAATGTTTTTATTTATTTATAAGCTTTCCTGTGGCAATCACCATATCATATGAGCATTTTAAACTTGGTTGACATTTATTCTCAAAATGCCCTTGTTTGGTAGGAAGTATTACTGTATCACCCCTAGAAAAATTAAACATTGACTTGACTTATGAGACAGGAAAAAATGGTACAGACTCCCAGCTTTGGGAACCTGAAAAATAGTTTTAGAGGTTTGGAAAACCTCAGAATCCACAATTTTTGTCCATCCTTAAGTGTGAGAGAACTACAGAAGAACTTTCTCATAAATTATGTTTTAATTATATTTTTTATCTGACTTGACTTGGATTTTCTACCCTGCAATTTGTCTGAAGACAGACTATTTTAGCTTTTAGGAGGTCATTAAGGCTGCTGCTGCTGTCTGATCAATCCTGTTTTAACTCCATCAGTTCGTCAGAATTAAGATTTCCTGCATTCACATGAGTTGTAAAAGACACTGCAAAAATATTGCTGAATTATAGATATAGGTGAAAAAACTGTTTTTATGGAAGTTCATAATACTACCTTTTCTTTATGAAATCTTATGTAGCTACAGTGGGTCACTTATGAGAGCTTATATGGTATTCATTTTATAATCCAACTACCCCATTGGGAGAATATATCCATTCACAGGTAAGTATTCCAATACAAAGGCTAAAAAGCTTAGTGAACATAAGTAGTGAAGACAAGGTCAAGTGCACATAGCCAGACTCCTTAACTTAGATTCTTCCTTTCTTTTAAAACAAATTATTTGAGATCTTTGCAAGTATGAACTAGAGATGCCCCTGACTTTTCGGTATGAGGAAGCAACAATAAAATTGTTTCCCTTTTGCCCAGGTTTGAATGCTCTATTTTCAGAGAAAGAAATATCTTAGCACTGATGTCTCTAACATGAGTTTGGATGAATATTCTTTGGAGCGATGCAACTAAGTCGTCTGCCAGTTATCTGGAAAAAAAATTTGGATTCATTGGGAACCTTCTTGGGACTTATAAAGCTTTGTTTGTGCATGTGATGTGATTACCTGTCCAGTAACGACTGGACAGAAAATAACCAAAAATGTATTTCACATTGAACACAGAACAAGTGTCAGATGGTGGAAAGTAGCCTGATCCAGATTTGAACCAGCATTCTAGTGGTGAAAGATTCTACATCCATTCCCAATCTCATTGCCATCCTCTTTATATATAAAAGGAGTAGATGCTCTACCTTCTTCTTCTGCATCTCCAGAAGTGCATTAGACATCAGAGGATTCCTGCAAATCCTCCAGCTCCACAAGGATGCTAGAGACATCCTCATCTTCTTCCATCAACTCTTCTTTAGATGGCTTCCTGGGAAATGCAGTACAAGCGTATGAATTCATTTGGATGGGGCACAAAAACTTGGTGCATCAAGTGCACCAAATTCAAGGTAACAGAGGCCAACAATGGGTCTTGCACTAATTTGACTTGCATAGTGAAATGAGAAACTCTCCAAGGGACATCTTGTGATTGCATTTTGAGCCCTTTTTTTTTTTTAATGTGTTGGCCCATTTCCTTTCTCCAATATCATTCCACAGATATCAAATAAACGTAAAATCAGAGTCACTGAATAAACAAAATAAGGGGGAGGAAAAAAAATCACAAAAACCTACTGGTAGGAAAGGAAACAATATATCCTACCAAAGATAGTTCTACAACTAAAAGTAGAAAAGTAGATGGGGGTTAGCAAGAAAACACAATTAATGTTTATTTTGTTTTAAATAGGGAACAAGAAGAATAATTTATCCATGGATTATGAAGGCAAAGATATATAGAACTACAAGATACCTCTCAAACTAGAAGGGGAACTGAAAGGGTGTAATTCGCTTTTTGTTGTTGTTTAAACTCACCACAACCAGAAAGACATCCTGACAGAAATGCCAACAGACAACACTCCTCCTACAGCCACCAGGAAGAAAATAATGCACGTTTAGAGAATAACTCTTGCAATCTATAGACCTCACCTGGGCACACGTTTGTCACTCTTATCTGGAGGGTCCTTGTAACAGTTTGGATTTTCTCTCTTGATGAGTGCTCCTGAGTCAAGGTACTCTGGACACAGAATCCCAAGGCTGGGGATCTGCATTTAATTACTTACCTTGGGAGCTTTGGGATTTAACCTGATCCTTAATCTCTGTAGCAGCAATTGCCACCTTTATTTTTCTGTTTTCCCACAACAGCAACACAATAGTGTCACTGCAGAGACCTGATGCACCAGACATTACTCCTTGCACCTACTAATTCCCTTCTTCCTAAAAATATAACCATTTATCTTTCTTCAGAAAGGTTTGTTAATGTTTAAAATGGAAAAAGGGGAAAGCACTGTCTTAACATAAAGCAAATATCTACATTTCAAAAAGCTCAACAAAAGCATCTCAGATGAAAATTCCATTTAAGATCCCTTAAACTAGAAAAAAGTGTTCTTAATTATTTGCATATTTTCCTTTAAAGCCCTGTATAAACTGACCAATCTGATATAATGGGTATCACATACTTGTCTTTTCAAAGCTGCTCTCTGTTGTTGTTGAGACTATGTCAACATGCTATTTTGTTGCAATGAAAATGGCCATGTATGTTGCTAAGAAAAAAATATGGATCCTGCCTTAAGACAAATGTTATTTGCTTATGGCCATGTTATTTAGTAAATTGGTCTACTTTGCATATTTAGGGTGTCAGTATACATATAAACTTAATTTCCTCTATGCACAGAAGTAATTTCCATGTATATTTCTGCATATTTAGTGATATTTCTAAAATATGTAAATGATATATTAAAGTTCATAAATAACAGTAAATAAATACATCTCAACTTTTTGATGGATGTTTTAACTTCTTGTTACTTAAAATAAATACAAGATTACATTTTTCGTGAGTGACAGGCAAAGCTGTACGTTCCAATTCAGCTAAAAATACATGTCTGAATGTTCTGCTGCAAAAAAAGATTTTAAGGTTTTTGCTGAACAGAAAGGGGATTTATATTTTATCAGAATCAAACCTTCTACTTTACCAATGCCACAATCAATTTAAGTTGTTTTATTATTACAGAAGTAGAGGCCACAACCATAAATCTGAATCAGTGAAAAGCCTACATTTTCCAACAGAATTTTTTTTTAAAAGAATTTGCATAATATTTTTGCTCACTAATATAACAGTTAAAATTCTAAAATAGGAATATTTTACTTTCTTTGTCAGTTGCTATACCTGTGAAATAGAAAATTCATATCAGCTCTCAGTCTTCAAGGAAAACCATTCTTAGGTCTCTAATTATATTCATATGTTACTGTTTTGCAACTAAACCGTTTTGAGTTTCTCTGATTTACTATTTTATTAATTGTTGATTAGGAAATGGAAGCGTAGTTACTGAGGTACCTTCCTTTCCATCTCACGCATTATTTATATGGCTCTACTCTGCGGCATTATCTTTTCTGAATGGAAAATCCAGTATATAGTTTTCCAGAGATTCTACATCTGTCCTTTTAACATACCTGAGTTTGGATTCTGTTGAGCCCTCTGAACCAGAGAATTTGTCCACGTCGAAGTTCTCTCTCTGCATGGTCAATTTCTTCAACATCTTCATTCAGGTCTTCTTCAGGTACTTCCTCTTTTTCAGTGAGCCGCCCTGCTTCCTTTAAAAACTTTAGCCTACTTGTTGGGATGGTTGCAATGACCTGAAAAATCACATAACAAAAGGGTGCTGAAAATGTAAGACGTATTTATCAGTGATATTATCATAATCTACTCATTGCAATGAAAAATACAAGATTTTTCAGTAAGACTTGTAATCCTCCAGAAATGCCAGGATAAACATGTTTATAATAGTGCTTTATATTTATACAGCTTCTTTCAGCCCAGGGCACTTTACATGTTTATTGATATGCAAACTATGGGCAGAGGACAAAGATCATCGTCCAGCTATGTTGGAAAAGGATAGGACACACTGGATGTGGTTTAATTAGGCTGCAACTTTATTCTTAAATGTCTGGGAGATGTGTACAGTGCAGGTGATTCCATAATCATTTCAATATCTACCGGGGAATCTTCCATCAGCCCTCCCTCTTACCCATCCTGGTCCCCAGCCAACCTGCTGCTGTGACCTCAGCATCCTTCCTACCCCCTTGAATGAGGGTGGGAAGGGGGGGCATTTGGCTCCTTGCAGTACCAGTCATAGAAGCCCCAACCACTCTGTTTCAGCTCCTTTAAAGAATAACTCCTTTAAATCCTTTACCAATCAATCCATTTTATCTGCTCACAGTATCCCCTCCCTATGGAGTACCTGCACTGGACACCCACCCCACATTTACATAATGAGTTGTGGCATCACAGCCTAATTCGCATTTCATCTTTGCCCCAACTAAGCCCCCCAGAACCTGCTGTGGAGAAGGAGAAAAAAACCCAATTCACCTTGGCCAATCTAGCGGTGAGGGAAAAATTCCTTCCCAGCACCCCCCCGAGAAAGGTGTGACTAGCACAACGCCCCACCCACACTTCCTTGCAGCACCTGTTTCTAGAAGGTGACCATCCAACTTACCTTGGTTATCTAGTAAGGTCTGAGGCTTCACAGAGCAAGGTGGTAAGGGTAACATTTTCTAGAAGTAAGACACTATTATCTAGTTTTAACAATTCAAAAACCCTTTCCATGATTTCATATCAGCTTGCTGTCTAAAAACAGCGAATGGCAGTCACAGATGTTGCACCTAACTGCCCACTGCTGTGGTCACTGGAACTTCTAGTTGGTCTCTATTTTCCATTTAGACTAACTCATTATGTCATTTTTACTGACGCCCCCGCTTTGTTCTGCTGCAGAAGTGGCACCTGGAGGGTTTTCAGGCTATTCTGATAAATTTAAAGGTTTTCAAATAGTGTAGTTATACAACATTTTAACAACATTATTTTAAACATGTATTGCTGAGAATTACCCTGTCTCTGGCCAAGCTTTCTTGGATAGTAATCTTCTCTTTATTTTGATTTCTGCTTTCAGACTGAATTGAAATATGGATGCATGGGTATTTAAGCCAAGGCATGTCACCTGAAAAGCTAAATATTGAAAATAAGTCATCCTACAGAGTTAAATGTCAAACCCATTTAGAATGAAAGTGCTTCAGTGTTCGTGCTCTGTTCCTGTTTCAGTAGGAGGTGATTAAGTCCTAAATGTTGAGATGCATGAAAAACAGGGCCTGCTTGAGAAGGGAAAAAAATCATAACTAGGACAATCCTTTGCAGATGCCAAACTTTAGTCTAAAGATGGGATGCCTGTGCTGTGGGAAGCTTTGGCAGCTGAGAAGGTTGCTGGCTGGATGCTGAAGGGTATCTCAAGTTTGTGACCATGACCTCCCCAGAGCTATGTTGCAGGGTCCAGTTCTTCTTTGCTGCTGGATCCTGGGACTCCAGACTCAGTTTCTGGGTACTGTGGCATGCAATGCTGCCAAGGACACATCAAGCCACAGTGTATGCCTGGCTGAATAGGATCTGAAAACGGAAGTACCAAAGCCACACAACTGGATGTGTAAAACCGATCTTTAAAGGAAGGAAATTGCCAGAGGTCTGGGGACTCGAGAAATGGGATAAGGTAGAGGCAAATAGTTGTAGGAAGGTAGGTGGGGAATGGAACAAAATGTTTGTGGGGGTCCCCCCTGCAGGTTTCAGTGTGGCAGTGGTATGGAGAGCTTGATGGATATGGAACAGAGATGATGAATGCTTTCAGGAGGGACCTTGCTGGAGATGTTTCTGAACTGAATGATCCACAACTTTAAAGTCGGAGTTAAAAAAGAAACATGAGGTTGAACTTATTTCTTTTAGGAGTCAGTTTTGCAGCATCTGACTAGACAAACTTGATCTCCCTAATTTCAAGCCCAGGTGAATGTTGCAGGTTTAAAAGTTTGACTTACTGATTCATTTGGCCTCTCTAGGAATTGAGCCACCATAACTTAACAGCTTTCAAAAAGTTACAGTACTCCTATGCTAAATGGATTGTATGGGTTCCATTAAAACTGAAAAGGATGAAGTGATGTTTGGCCTAGCAAGACTGCATTGCATGTATAGAGACAACACTGCTGTATTCTGTAGAGACTCTGTATGACAGGGTGTACAGATCCCTCAGGGCCCAGTGAGTGTCTCCTCTCAGCTGGGATGACACACTCTGCCCACGCTTTGTTTCATTTTTCACTTTGGCAGATCCTCACCGAGCCAGCTCACGGCAGGGTCAGGTCCAGGCCACTAGAGCTGGATTCAGGAAACAAATACCATTTCCCAGGAAACTATGAATTTAACAGTTAGAGCCAAGATTTTCAAAAGTAACTAGTGATTTTGGGAGCCCAACTTGAGACACCTTAAAGGGGCCAAACATTCAGAAAATGCAGAGCACTCACCTTTTGAAAGTAGGGCCATTTCAAAGTGTTTCAAGTTGGTCTCCCAAAAACTGAAGCACCCGAAATCAATCACTTGGTCTAAATTCTCTAATCAAAAATCCTGACTGGGTGTGGTGGATGCCTGGGGGAGAAAAGTTCCTGATGGCTGGGGTGAAGCAAAGGGAAACACGTGTTCTATGCTGAACCTGAATTAAACAGGGCAGGTGAGAAAGGACTTCTCTAGGGGAAGTGGGGAGAGACAAAAAGCTTCCTATTAAAAGGTTGCAGGGAGAGAGGAGAAGCCTTGCCACAGGTCAAAAGGGCTTGGTATCTCCTAAATAAATTATGCATTCATTTTGTTTGCAATAGTCTGTCTACTGGTTGCCCAAATGTTGAGCACTGTTTGTACTTCAGCCCTTGCTTTCTCGCCACACATCTGACACAATAAACTGGTAGTCTGCCAAGTGAACAAATCAGTGGGCTAAAATCAGTACAGTTTTATATTGAAGTTTTAACTCTACAAATTTAATAAAGTGCCTAACCATTTACAGTGACCTCTGCAACCACTCTCACCTTTGAATGTAAATCAGACAATTGTTAATCTTCAAAGGGTTATGTTGTAATATTTATAAGAATGCACACAGGACAAAATCCAGAAGCAACCCACTGCCCTCTTTTAAATGTTTTAAACCACAAATTAGAACTGAGTGGTTGAATAAATGGCATAATCACCACCACTTTTTTCCCAAAATGAAGATTTTCCAAGCTGCTGAGGACAAGCCATTTCTTACAAATTGCTGTTCAACTGACATTCAGATTTTCCCAACAACTGTGATTCGGTGCCTCCTGGGGGTAATTTCATCAGCAACATCAAGTAATGATGGCACCCAGCTATGATTGCCAGGAGGCATCTGCTGACACCAGGTTGAGTTCTTTTCTTCAAAAATACTTGTGGCCCCACTGCCCAAGGTGTCTTGCTTAATTTTTTTCAGAATACGACAATCATCCAACCCAGAAGCTCCGTGTCCATGAAGACAGTTCAGCCAGAATCACTTTAATGGGTGTCACAATTAATTAACTAATTGCAGGGGCAAGTTTCCTCTCTCTGCTGGAACACATGCCCTTCTCTGGATAATGATAAGCCATCTCTGCCTAAGATTTATTTTTATTCCAGAGACAGTAAAATACTTTGGGGGACTTTTGTTTGTTTGGGAGGGTGCGAGCTTTGGAATGCATCAGATTAAACCAACTGGCTGATATTTACAAAATATTTTTAGAAGGAAAATACTCTTGCTTCTCCCTTCAAACACTATCTACAAATTACTTAGATTGGTGGTTGTATGCTGCACCCTCGCCTCCAGACAATAGCTATTCGAGTGATGTCTATGCAATCACTTCCAGACAGCTAATCATAGAATTAATTTATTCTTTTACCTCTTGATTGTTGCAAATGTTTGATGCACTCATCTACATATAATTCTATTAACTCTTGGCACCAAAGGTTGTAGCAGACCTTATTGCTGGCACCTGGATTAAAATGCATCATGAATTATCAGCTGTTCTGAACGCACTGCAGAAAGCCATCATCATTCAGCTGCCAGTTTTCTTCCTCAGCAAGCTGAAGGGATGGGATGGAAAGTACGGGAGCAAGGTCAGCAGTGGGCTACACTAAGTGAGCTGGTGGATCTCAGTTTGATTCAGAGCAGAGAAGAGTCCATGTCACAAAGAGTAATTGGCATTAATTGCAGCATTGCTAGCAATCTCAGCACAGAGAATAAGCATGTGCACTGAACTATTCACCCACTTCCTAGTGTTTGTCATTTTGGAACATATTTAAGTGACATTAGTGGGGACAACACAGGGAAGCTTATATTATAACTGCCCTTACTACACTTTTCCTGTGACTAGAGGACTACAGTTCTAAGGGCTATAGATCTAGTATCTTTCACAAACAAATTCACTCAGGAAGTACTTAGTCATTGTATTACTGCACACTATTGGAGAAAAAGTCTGAAAATTAACAAAAAGTTAAAAAGAAACATAGTGCTACCTTACTGAAAAACCCTGTATTTTTAAAAGGGTCGTTTATTTCCAGTGTAATGCCAAATATGATCGAGTGAGAGATGGTTGAGCAGCAATCCTACACACCTTCTTATGAATCAAATTACTTTATGACAAAGTGTTTGCAAAACCAGACCTTCCATCGGTTTGTGAAAACATAATAAATGAGTAGAAAACTATACATTACTACATGACACTTACCTGACCCCAGACAAGTTCTCCTAGTCCAATAAATACACACCACATCCACTGGTCAAGCTGCAGAGGAGAGCAGCTGAAAGGTTTCCCACCAAACTGCACAATTACTATCTGCAGAGGAAAAATGGGAGGGAGGAAGAAACACTTTATCTCTCTTCTGAAAATGTATTTTCCCCACATTTACATGAGCTTTCGCTCTCTCTTTCAGTACACTTGTTTACATCTCACTTTGATTCAGCAAGTACATTGCTGGATGGCACATTTAAGCACACTATAGGCATTTGTTGTTTAGCAGATTTTAGTATGGGGCTGAAGTAGGGAGACCTACATTCTGCTACTTGGCATCTTATGCGTCACTAGGTGCAAGTCAGCAAAAGTAGCCTCCATTCAAAACACTTTGGGACTCCTTTTCAGAAGTGCTGAGCACCTAATCCCTATTGTGGTCAACGGAGGGTTCAGATGGCAGGAGTTTAGGACCTCTGGAAAATCAGACTCAGGCTATTTTAAATAGGGTGCCCATAAACTGACATATCCTGAATTAGACACCCAGGGAAAAGTATTATTTTAGTTTGGAATTTATATAGTGGAAGAGACCTTTCTCCAGTGTCAACATTTTAATCCACTGCTGCCAGGGCCGGCTCCAGGCACCAGCCCACCAAGCTCGGCCACAGCCGGGCTCGCCGCCCTCCCCCCCTGGCGCCCTCCCCCCGGCCACCGGGGGGAGAGCGGCGAGCCCCAGCCGGGGCTCGCCGCCCTCTCGCCGCCCTGCCCCCTGCGCTCTGGCCGCCGGGGGGAGAGCAGAGCCCCCCGCCGGGGCTCGCCGCCCTCCTCCCAGGGCTCTGGCCACCCTCCCCCCCGGCGCCCTCCCCCCGGCCACCGGGGGGGAGAGCGGAGCCCCCGCCGGGGCTCGCCACCCTCCCCCCGGGGCTCTGGCCGCTCCCCCCCCTCGTAGCGGGGGGGGCGGCCGGAGGCTTTTTTGCCTGGGGCAGCAAAAAAGCCAGAGCCGGCCCTGCTGCTATGGTTTAGATTAAATCCCAATCAGTTACAGCTCAGTCCTGAATATATTCATTTATCTATAGTCAAACTAGCCTAAAACCATATTAGTTATCGCACAAACTCCTCTAATCAAATGCAACTTGACATTCACATGTTGTATCAAATGACTGATCGAGTTCTAGATCATGTAATGTTAATTCTAGCATTTTTTCTTCAATATCTTTCCACTTGGACTGTCTTTTTAACAGCATCCTAGTGATAACTGATATGGTCTGAGGCTAGGGCGGCTGTAAATGAACACATTCAATAGTAATCTGTGAATGATTGATGGAAATGAAATCTAAAACACAGTACCAATGGAAGAAATTGGTAACGCTGGACTGGATTAAGGTTTCTTGCATAATATATATTCAAAGGTAAAAGGAGGTCATTTATGAAAAAGAAATGTTGACTTGCAGGAGAGATTGATCTTGTGGCAAACGTCTCACCATAATAAGATTTCAATTGTGCCATGTGAATGACACAGAATAAACCATTATCTAAATGGCATTTGATATAATGGGATGGAAATGTCTCACAGCACAGTGCTGACCAGGTTCATTCTGACTGATTTAGGGGAAAAAAAAATCTTACTTTTCATTAATATGCAACCTTATGAATAGCTTTGCTTGTTTTTAAGTCAGTGTATAATAGTCAGTGCTAGGTACCATACAAATCTATAAACAAAGACTGTCCCTACACCTCAGAGAACTTACTTTCTTAAGTATAAAATGAGACAATAGGTGGGACAGACATGGGGAGCACACTAAAAACAATGAGTCAAAACTGTGCAGCAGTCAGTGTCACAGATAAATACATATACTAGTATAGTAATGCCAATGACACTACAATATGGGCCAATGCCCTTTCTTCTCCTCATCTCTCTTGGACCTATGTATAAAATAGCTGTTTCCCAGCACAACACCATCCTGATTCCCAGCAAACCACTCCCTGTGACTTCTATCCCACTGTAGCTGGATTCCTCACTTTTCACTTTGAAAATCCGGTCACCCTGATGTTATATTTTTAGGACTATTGCACAGAAAATTGAAATACCAGATGCAGTTCTGCTGTACCCAGCAAATATAGCAAATACACAAGGAGCTACACATGTGTGTGTTTTTTTTTTTAACTAAACCACCCATGAAACATAGCTCAGACTAGGGATTGGCTCTGTCATACCCATACCACATCCATCCACAAGGACAGGCTGAGCTCCTGGAGATTATAGCAAAAAATGAAACTAATACAGCTGGGCTAGCAACAGCCACCCAATTAAGAACAATATAATTCAGAGCAGTTTTAGTAGGCTTCATTATGCAACATTATAACCCCCCCCCCAAAAAAAATTAAGCTCATATGACCCCCCTTCCCCTTGTGAAAGTGGACAAATTGGTTGAAAGAATAACCTTATATTACCTAAGGAAAGATTACCTGGCAGAAAGAGACACGGAAAAGCAAGCAGAAGTCAGACTGACTATGCTATGATCCTTCATTTTTCTCAAATACACAGCTCCCACTGGTCTCAGTGGCAGTTGCATGTGAATACAGTGAGCAGAAGTAGGCTCTTGGTTGTGTACAGAGACTAAGGTTTGTATTTATTTTGGAAGAGTTTTTGTTAGTGGATGGAGAGGATTGGGAGGAGTAGACAGAATCCAGCACATGAAGTCAGATCTATGAATAGCAACTCCCCTCTCCTCTCAGGTCTGGTCTATACTACCCGCCTGAATCGGCGGGTAGAAATCGACCTCTCGGGGATCGATTTATCGCGTCCCGTCGGGACGCGACAATCGATCCCCGAATCGGCGCTCTAACTCCACCAGGGGAGGTGGTAGTAAGCGCCGCCGACAAAAAGCCGCAGAAGTCGATTTTGCCGCCATCCTCACAACGGGGTAAGTCGGCTGTGATACGTCGAATTCAGCTACGCTATTCACGTAGCTGAATTTGCGTATCTTAAATCGACTCCCCCCTGTACTGTAGATGTAGCCTCAGCCAAAAGCCAGGTATGGAAACACCTGGGAATGGAAAAAAATCTTCAAGCCCCTTCCATGGCAAGGACTTTAGATTTGGTTGTGAATTAAACCCAAGTAGGCCCAGATTTCTAAGGGTATTTAGTGTTGCTCCACTCAGTGTTGCAAGGCCTAGGTGACTTAGGAGGCTAAGTCTCATTTTCAATAACACACACTGAGGGCTAGACGCACAATGGGATTTAGGTGCCTAAACTGCCACTTTAGTCCCCTTCATCCACAATTTAGATCTTCAAAACTCCTGCTCAGCCGCTGCCTAAAGTTCCTAGGCAACTCAGTATTTCCTGGAGAAGTCCCCGTGGTACCTACATGTCTCCTGATGGGCAAGGCTAGTCCTGATGCACAACTCCTCACATGTGCCTATGTCCCAGTGGGATTCACAACCCAGGCTTTCTCCCACCTACCTCACCTGCCGGGCCCAATCAGAGGCCTGCCCAAAACACAGCTGGTGTGGAGCTGTTGCCCTCTTTTGCTCAAGAGCAAAATACTCCACATGTTTAGAGCATTCACCCAAGATGTTGGAGATCTGGATTCAATTCCCTTCTCTAACTGATGTGGAGCAGGGACTTGAAGCCAGGTCTCCCCTCTGCCAGGTGAGGGTCTTAAACATCTCCAGGCTATAGAATCGCTCTCTGGCCCACTGCATATTCAATTATTTTTATAAAAGTGGAAATGCTTCAACAGGAGAGATTGAGAGAGACCTAAAATACTTTACAGCCCAGGGGTTAGGGAGATCTCCGGGAATACGGGGGATTATAGATTCATAGATTCTAGGACTGGAAGGGACCTCGAGAGGTCATCG